ATTATAATATTTAGTAATATTTTTTATTAGCTTTTATTTTTATATTTTTATTTTTAGCAACTAATAAGTCGTTTTTTAAATTTTAAGTTTTAGTAATTTTGTTATGTATTCTATTTAGTTTAGTAATTGTTTTTGAAATATTTATTAGTTTTTGTTTTTAATGTATTTCTATTTAGGTAAAGTGTATTTTTATTTCAGTTTTAGTAATTTTAGTACTTAAGCTTCAACATTTTTTTTAAAGTTTTTCATCTAATAATTTTTATTTTATTTTATTTGAGCTTTATTTTCAATAACAATACAATTTACTGTAGCAACACTACCAGTGAAAGTATTTATCAATTTGTTTTCAGCTATTTGCAGATAGATTTGGGAGATTGATCATGAAATGACGGTGTGTGCAGCATTTCAGTTACTTTGTGGCGCCCTCTGCAGGTGATGGAGTTTTACTGCGAGTCTTGTGAAACGGCCATGTGTTTGGAATGCACTGGCGATAGGAAAAGTATACACTTTTGAACAAGTGGTGTTTGCGAATTTCAAGTCGGAGATATTATAATTTGTAGTTATGTGCATATGAATAACCCGAGCAATTTCTTTACTTGCAGTGGTATTTTAGTATTATTTATATACTATTATGGTATTTATTAATATTTTGAATTAGCATTCATTTTTATATTTTCAGTTTTCTTTTCATTTTGGTTCAATTTTTGGTTCAAGTTTAGCTTCATTTTTATTTCAGTTTTAGTTTGAGTAATTTTAGTTTAAATGTTATTCATTTCAGTTAGTTGCCAAGGCTTTTTAAGTTTAAGTTATTGATCTAATATTTATATTTTATTTTATTTTACCTTTATTTTAATTTCATAAAACAATTTTTTATATTTCAAGATAACAATAACCACACTAGTAATTTACCAGTGGAAATATTTATTAACTTATTGCATGTGTTTGGAATGCACAGAAGGAGAGCACAGAGAACATGTGACCGTTCCACTGCGGGATGTTCTGGAGCAACACAAAGCAGCGCTGAAGAACCAGCTGGATGCTATTCGCAACAGGTTCATGCAGCCAAAAACAATACTAAACTCACTGTTAATCTGAGCCAGTATTAATTTTTAACCCATTCTTTATACTGTACTCCGAATCTTTTTTTTTAGTTATTTTAAGTAAATAAATGAGAATACTACAATAAAATTAAATACTACAATTTTGATTTCCCTTTCTTTTTGAACATTTTCTTATGTAGTTACTGCTGTGTTTGCAAAGCTCAGCTGCTTGAGTCCCATCATGACCTCCTTACGGAAAGTTTGACTGAACATTGCCCTCATTCTGCATCCACAGGCTTCCTCAGCTGACTGCAGCTATAGAGCTGGTAAATGAGATCTCCAAGCAGCTAACAGACAGGAAGAATGAGGCAGTGACAGAGATCAGCAATACATTCGAGGAACTGGAGAAAGCACTGCATCAGCGCAAGACTGCCCTCATCACCGACCTGGAGAACATCTGCAGCACCAAGCAGAAGGTGAAAAGCTTGCTCCTTAAAGGCATAGTTCAGAAATAAAAATACAGTGGGTATAGAAAAGAATCACCCCCTTTAAAATAATCACACTTTGTTGCTTTGCAGTCTGAAATGAAGACGGACACAGTTTTTGTTTTATCCAGCTGTATTTACTCAGTGCGACTTATAACATCCAAGTGAAAGATATAACACCAACATGTCAGAACAAAATAAAATAATAAAAACCAGAATTTATATGTATTAAAATAATAATTTATTATTGACATTATTTATTATTTAAATATTATTTTAAAAATGTGAAAATAAATTATACGCATCTGATATCTAAAATTATATATTTCTGCAATAAATTCAAATGAATTTTGTTACATTAATTGTTTTATTTAATTTTATTTTATTATTTTATGTGCATATGAATACATCAAGCAAATTTATTGTATTTATTAATATTTCAAATTAGCTTTTATTTTTATATTTTCAATTTTCAATTTAACTTTGATTTAGGTTTTAGTAATTTTGTTACATTATTTTTTTGTAATATATATTTTTCAGTTTTAGTTCCAGTAATTTTACTAAATTATATATATATATATATATATATTTTAT